TATTAAGTGACACCGCCACCCATGGACACTCCGATTGGCAGAAGGCTCGCAAGTGCGTTCCCGGCATTTTAGGTACGCTCTTTTCTGGAACGAACCTAGAGCGCAGAATTGAGAGAATACGAAGGGCAGCTTGCTCCACCACCGGGTGCTGGGCATCCCGGTGGAGGACGCCCGGGAGGCGAGCGCGTGTGTTACACCCCTAGGGTAGTTTATGTCTCTTCTGCACCTTCAAAGTGGTTGCAATTATGACTCGTGGTTATAAAAAAAGGATAGGCGTTGGTCTTAATTGGACTTTGGGCTTCAAAATAACTACATCATTGATATTGCATTATTACTATTTGATCTAAAAAATCTAAATGTCAGATAGTAGAAAAAACTTAAATGTTAAATGTCAAATTGTCGGCCATATTTGTTCGCGTAGGGTGCGCAGCCGTAATTTGTCAACATAGGGCGTTCCGCGTTTGTAATTGGTGGTTAAGGGGTGATAAAAAACGCTCTTTCATAACTTATTGCACACGCCCCGTATTAACTGATAATCTAGCCACGTTTAGCACCTTGCCAAGTTAAAGGTATTTTAACTTAGATTAGCTATAACTTAAACTGTTTAATTTGCAATGACTTGGACTAACTCTAAGAGATTGTCATAGCATAGGGGCTGTTCAAGTATTACGTAAGCAGATTTACTGCAATTTATCCTCTCCCCTCTCCCCCCTTTCCTCTTGTCAGAACAAGTAACCAAAGCTCTCAAAAATAATAGTACATAAACGTATTAATTTTTGAAGGAATCCTCGAAAATACTTTAGCCTTGCCTTCGTTTTCAAGGATAGACAATGTGTGGGTAAAGGAAGTAAAAAAATACTGTTGACACCAAATAAGAAAATCAAAGATAACCAAAAAAAATCTAAGCACTATGCATATTTTGCAAGTTACTAGCGTTATCGATTATTCGATATCCTAGGAAAAATAAAATAGCAACAGATGCATAACAGATGATATTTGCGTTACAAGACTTGTAAACTTTTAGGTGTCTTCCTGTCGTACGATTAATTCTTTTGCTTGATTTTGAACCTAAATATAGAACATAGAGTTCCATAAAGATGTTTTATATACATTTACGAGAGCAAAGTTAACTAGCACAAGCCCGTTTTGATGCCATAAACAAAATTCACGAAGCTACAAGAGTTAAAAAATTAAACTGTTTTAAATTAGGCTGGTACTTGATATCTTACGACGACATCTAAGCCAAGGGATCAGCAGTAAATTACATGAAAACTGGAGCGTTGCATCGCATTGTATGCAGATCAACCTTACAAAGCGTCTCCGCCACGATTTGCATCAACTTTCGGACTCGGAAAGCAAATAAGTTCAACCTAATTATACACCTAACGAAGCAAGTATATAGTGCATAGATTTCTTCAATAACAATCCCAATGCGATCTTTTTGGAAATAGATGTCATAATTCAAATATTATCTGTGCAATAATTTTGAAAATAGAACACAATGGCGAATCGGAAGCGGGCATTGTTCAAACCACAATGGCGCGTCTCATTACTCAACAGCTCGTTAACGTCCCGACCGCCGCAAAACACTATCTTTATCAGCCCCTCACGTCAAATATCTACAGATCTCGAACTATATCTTGGGACACAATGTGAAAATAAAAAGCCGCAACAGAAAGTTCCCCAGAAGCCAGATGCGTATCGGTGCGCCAAAACGTAAAATTCGACGGTGATATGACGTTTGCGCGTTCCTTTTTCGAAATGCTCGCGAATTGTCAACTGTAGCATAGACAAAGGACACATTTGAATACGTTCTAAATTTGAATATAAAGGTCGGCTATCGCGTGTCGCCGCCATACATCAAGCACGAAGGCTTTAAGTCTTTCGAGCGCTTTTCGGACACAAATAAGCGTCTGAAGTTCGACGGAGCGCATAATTCGATTTATACCTGATTTCAAGTTTAGTCATTCAAAAGATCTTATAGCATTATGATATGTTTTTATAGCGGATAAGCGTGCCATTCACAACCCTGAGGACCTTAGATAATGGTTAATTTTGTGTTGTAACAATTCAACGAACGATAAATAAGATAAGAAATTATACCTATGTAATAATTTGGTTTAAATCAAACGGAATTATGTATATACAAATAGTTATATTTACTAAATTATTTGTAATATTTTTTCTATGCCATGGAACCTTTTTTTATTAACACGTTTTAAATTGCTATGTAAGTTGTAATAGTGGATGAAATACAAAGAACTGCGCAATCAGATATGTCATAATATAATTAAAAACAATTATTTGTTATATTATGTATCAGTATGTCAAAACTTGTAACCTTAGATCTCTTTTGTGTTATAAAAGCATTGTGCGGCGTGCCTTACTAGGCCACAAACAAGCATTTAGTGGTAAAATTTTTTACCTTTTCAACATTATAGGCATATATACCAAATTATATCCGGGTTCGAAGAACGAAAATTCATACGAAGTGTTAAGTCAGACGTAAAATAAATGTAATTTAATAAATAGGTCGCTAGCCCGTCGCACGCACCTTTTTCGCACGGAATTAAATATAGCATATTTAACTCATGGAGTTTATTCTTTATTAACATTCAGAAATAGACAGAATAGTATGACAACAAGGTGGTTAAGTCTATAATAAGCTATAAGCCTGGCCTTGGCAAATAACAATAACTCTATTGGGAATTATTTATTTATTTTAATTGAATAATTTATTTATAAATTTTAAGTACCTAACTTGTTTTCTGTTTCATATATGTATCTTGTTTATCATGTTAGATGTAAGATTACTAATCAATGAATGACATAAACTGCAGAGTTAGTATAGACAGTAGACGTTGAATATTAGTTACGTAAAACAGAATACTTAGTTGCTTTAAATTTAATCTTATAATTCTAAGATTCATTAAAATCGTATTGTCACTCTCAGTGGAGTATTAAGTTAGAGCAGCAGGAGTAATTTAAGATATTTATAGCGTGTAAATGTCGATATCAAAGCGGTCTCACCCACGACACAGTCCGATTCGGCTATATTTCACCTCTCCACAATTACAACCATTAAACAGGCAATCTTTGACTTTTTTATTTTCAGGCAAACTTATTAGGATTCTGTGGCGTTAATGATGACAGATGAGAGCGGCTTAATATAAAACCTCTTTTGAGAAATCGTTTCGAAAATTACTATTGGAAAACTTTTAATTTAGTAATGGTGAGTTTCATTGTACCTATACCGTAAATATACATATTAAGTGTTTGCCTAAATACAGAAATACTGAATTTGGTTTGTTTTAGGTAAAATAATATAGATAAATATTTAAATAGATACTTCTTATATATACATGCAATATAGTTTGTTTTGAATTTATTTTATTAAATAGGCAAAGTATTAATTTATATAAAACCAGAAGTATCCGTAACTAAAAAGCCACCGTGCCATTGTAACATGATTTTAACTAATTATGTTTATCTATTAGCAAGATAGAAGTCATAGACAAATGAACGAAGATCGAATCAAACAAAATTTGAATAGAACGGAAACAGTTTTTACCGCGCTTTAATTTAATTTTGGAACGGACCCCGTCGGGTTACAAATGGCGTCGATACATCATGGCGATGATATCTCTTTCAACTTACGCCCGACATGGGCAGCGAATTAATTGTATACTTAGAAATAAAAGAAACGAGTTATTAGCTATTCGTTTTGAATCAGACTTAAATAATTTTTGAAAATACGTTTATTCTTTTTCATTTAATAGCTTACTTATCTACTACTAGCATCCTGTCCCTGCTTTGCACGGGTGGACTTAAAAAAATGTAAATATGTTAACTAATGTATATGAATGTTTAATACAGACAAGACTTACCACGAATTATTTGACTTCTTGATCCCATGATTTAATTGTGTGAAAAATGAAAATCCATTATATAACATATCATATTAGACTGTCATATTTAGCGCTAATTGTAAGATTCAGAAACGGGACTTAAGTACATAGAGCTTAAGACTTAAATCCTTTTCCTTTCTTACCTCAAGTCGCGTCTCTGAATATCACCGTCTGTCAAATATCAACACAAGTGCCTTAGTTTAGTTCTTATTCAAGCAACTTGGTTTAAGTAACTAATATTCTGAAAATATTGAATGAAGAGAGATAGACGTAAAATGACAAGGTAGGAAGCTCACATTCGTCTACAGCGCTAGAGTCTGTCTGGGTCTGGTTTTTTCCAATACCAGACCCAGACTTAAGCAACTTTAAACATAACGTAGATGATGTCACATTTTCTATTATATTTACTTCAAGTGTATAAAACATGATTATTAAATACCACGATAAATAGATTTCTAAAACACAAACTGTGTAAAAATGGAGACGGTCGAAGGTTTATTAAACAAAATGCACCATACTGTGGTTGGCTGTTTCTACTCAAATTTTATTAGAGATAATGTATTTAGTGAAGTAAATATTTCATTGAACCACTTCGGTCAGATAAAAGCGTAGCATTTTCTTTAAAACAGTTTAACGCCTTAAATATATTTGATGTTAAGTGTACAGGTAAATAACATTGCCTTGTAAAATGATCAGGCACTAAATTTTACTAAAATATGGCATATCGGTTTGGATAATAAAATAAATATTTTTTAATTCATCTTATAATATGAAGATTTGAAATAAAATAAATATTTATATTCATAATAAAATAAAATATTCTGTAACTATCAATTGTCAAATTACATATTTATAATGACATTTGAACGACTACGTTTGATGACATAAATGTCATAACATTTCCGAGAGGCGAGAATGGCATGTTGTATTTGTTATTAAATCAAAGTAGTGTCTTGAATAAATAATTACCGATCCCCACCACGGAATCCAGCTTTCACCATGGTACTGATGGTTTACTTTACTTATAAACGGTATGTTTTCTGCGCGAGGCTTACGTGTCTAACATAACTGTATTATTCACAGGGTACGGCGATGTTCGCGCGTGTTACGTTCTATCCCTCATTACTTTATAATGTTTTAATGGAAAAGGTGACTAGTAGACGATGGTACGATAGAATGGATGATCATGTTATCCTTGGAGCCCTTCCTTTCCAGGGAATGACAAAGCAGGTACTACTATTTAGATGAAAAAATGTTCCTTCTGTGTAAAGAATTGTATCATCTTCTCTTCGTTAAGCAGCTGTAGGTCAATTTTTTAATAAAATCAATATGATTCTATTGTGTTGATTTAAATTTGATTCTCACGAAAATCTGAAGAAATTTGCCGGTCCCTTTAAAATACTTGATCAATTGAATAAAATCAATGTTAATTGGTCCGTTTGCTAATTTGAAGTTGAAGTATCTTGCTCGCAACTCAACTTGCTCAATAATTTGAAGGGTTTAGCATGCACAGCCCTGTAGTTTGTTTTCATTTCAATTGTATACATGAATGAGATATGGGTAAGTTTGCATCCCAGTCTTCTTTTAAACCGTATCAAATTATTCAGAGTTGACTGTATAAAAAAAAAAGTAAGGTAAAGCTTTCTTAATATATCTATTTATATTCCCTTAAGAAGTTTTGATTAATTATGTAGTAACCATTACATATTTTTTATTGAAACATAGTATCTCTATAATTAATAAAAACAATGCAATATAATGAAAAAAAATATTTTAATTAAATGCTGAGTTATTAAACCCGAAGGTCTTTAAGTATTAACAAAAGTTTATTAATTCCAGTTAATTGAAGAGGAAAACATCAAAGGTGTTGTTTCAATGAATGAGACATATGAATTGAAGATTTTTCAAATGATGCTGGGGTATGCAATATTTTGTATTTTTATATGTAGCTCAAAAAAGTCATTGATAAGTACAACAGCAGTGACTAACAAAACTCCAGAACTAAAATATTCAATACTGAATGACTATGTGTAACAAGGAGAATAGCCAAACAAAAAAAATAGATAACATTTAGTATTGTCTTTGATTTACATAACCTTTACACATTTAAAGAAAAAACTGTTTAACCGGATTGAAGTTATGTATTATTATAAATTTACAACTATTTAACATAATTTTTCTTTAGATAACATTTATTTAAATTGGTTATTGAAATATTTCATTGTGATTTATTATATTGTTATGTAAATTTATGATTTGAACGAGATTATTTTAACACGGGCACAAAGTTCCTCTAGCGTATTTTGATGTTGAAAATGGAAAATTCCATTGCATTTATTTAAGAATATATTTTCAATCAGATATGTAAAATCTAGTTGTATTTGAAGATGTAAGATCTTGTTCTTGCTTAGAACAGGCAACCTCAGTCATATTAGAAGGAGCATCTTCAGGACAAGGGTGATAATCATAAAATAATATTTAAGTAATGCCATATGCTAGACTTAAGCCCGTCCGGAAGGTAAATTAATAGTAATTTGGATATTGCGGATTTTACAATTTCATGTATTAAATATTCCAATGATTAGTGTGATGGCAATAAATGAGAAATATTATTTATATTTTCATTTTCAGCGATGGCGTGAACATGGTGTACAATTTCTCCAATTAGCCACAACAGATATCTTTGAAGCACCAGATCAGGATAAATTATATGAAGGAGTCAGATTTATTAATAGGTTTGTTAATATCTATATGCAAGTTACCAGTTCATGAATCTTCAGTTGTCTCAACTCTTATAAAACATGACCTTGATAATAAACTAACAAAGGCACAGAAGTAATTTTATGTTAGATTGTACAATTTATGGTAATAAAAAAATACTGCTTTATTTACTTTTAATAATGACAAGATTAAATGATAAAGACAATTTTATTTTTGCTATTTTATCTATCTTTACCTGTACTTTAAAGAATTGAGGTGCAATATTTTTTTTTATTTCCATTGTGTATTTTTTTACTTTTAATGATTGTCATGATATGATTCTTCTATAATGTTTTAAGGTATAAAAGTTTAAAAGGACTTTACTACTTTTAAGTTGGATTTTGTAAGACATATTATTTTCAGATTTCTTCCAAGTAGTAATAAGCTCTCTGGATTACCCCTAGATGACAAACAAACAAACAGTGGTACTGTATATGTACATTGTAAAGCAGGAAGAACTCGAAGTGCTACGCTAGTTGGCTGTTATCTTATGATGGTAAGATTTTATCCTAACAAATATTAAATTTAAAACATGTATAACCACAGGGCGAAGTTGAGTATCAGTTGGCAATCAAAAGTTTATGAGGAGTAATATTCAATAAATTACGTTTATGAAAATTTATTTAATAAAACGTCATTAACCCGAATATTATATAAGAATTAATTAAAGTGATTGTGTTTTTTTATTTTTTATTGGGTAAAGCAATATTGATCAATAAATAAAAAATTCTCTATTTATAATAAGTATTGTTCGGAAACAATAGACAATAGGAATTTATTAAACTCTTCGTGATAGCAATTGTCGTGTTATTGTCTATTAATTTTTTTATTTCGTACAATAGCCACAATGATTGTTGATTGGTGAGATGTGAGATTGAGCCAATTAATTAAAATTCTCCTCGCACGCGCTACGCCCCTTTGATAACGGGAAGTTACTATAAATTTAAGTAATTTCATTATTATTGACGTTCATAATGGGCTATTTGACGGTGCGATAAAAATCATTGATCAAAATACTGATTTTATACGTCAGTCACGTGACACAAGACGGTCACAGATTAGTCGGATCGGCTTCGCCCGTCTAATCCTAAATCTATCTTGGATTTGTGATGTGTTTTTTGAAGTTGTACTTCTTTAGGCGCGTTATGAAAAATTGATGAGAGTGAAATTTTACGATTGCGCGCGCACCTATGACACAAAATTGGCAGTGTGATATAGCGTGCGCGAGCGAGATGGGAATAAGACAAACTACAAGTAAAAAGAAATAGAATATGCGTGAAGCTAACTTCACGCATATTCTAGCTTAGCAGCTTAACAAGAATTTTGAATGACCATGACAATTGACATCTGACAATGACATTTACCTTTTAAACAAATATAGGAGTTTTAATTATTGTTTAAAATTAATAATTATATACCTAGTTATTTTCATTATACAAAATATTTGTGAAATAATATAAAATATTTGTGAAAAAACTGTGCTAACCTTCCTGAGTGCTTCAATACAATTGAGGTTAACTATACGTATGTATTATCGAGTATTATTGTTGATTAAAACTGAAACATGAACCATTATTCATTGCTTTTGTTTATTGCGTTTGTTACAGCAACTTTTTAGAAATATTCTACGACCCTATATATCAATAATTGAGAACAAAGATTTAAGCACGAATACTAATAAGGAGAAAATGAAGGCTTGGAGCGATATAACAGAGAAGTAAACATTTTAATAAGTACCTGCATCTCAAAAAAAATGACCACATTATTTAATCAAAACATCAGATTTAATCTAGCAAATATAAGGACAAGAGACAAAAAACAATTGATGAATCAGTGGAAGTGCACTAAATTGAATACAAAAAAGAGTTGTCATCTTATCGCCGTGAAACATCAAAAACTGGAGGTGGAACAAAGCCACCATCACCTTCTCGAGACACAATGGTTTGAAGTAGATTTCAATGAATTTGATTGTGATGGTGTCGAGGTAGGAATGTTAATTATAAATATGATGTATGGTGATGTTCAAGGTTCAACCTTTCAAGCATAGGCATATGCTTACAACATTACTTTATTCCCCTACAGGGTAGTTAGAGATATTGTAATACCTCAAAACATCCATGTTGCACTTGTAGTACCGAAACTCTGTCCTGCCAGAAGTGAGCCCATTCCCACTTATAATGGACAGTGGGTATAATACACCTTAATACCTGAGTGCGAACCACTCACCATGATACTTAAATTAATAGATGTTATTTATATATTTCAGGTTATTACAAATAAAATCATTTTGGAAACAATTGATATCCCAAAAGCAAATAAAGCCAACAATGACAAGGTAATAAATCAGTTTTGACATAACTTGAATACTAAAAAAGCCAAACAAAGGTGTGCACAACAGTGACAACATAACTTAACAATTTCATTATTTTGTAGGATTAAAGAAAGGTTAAAGAAAATCATGTCGAACTGAACAACAAGAATCCCCAAACAACTCCAAAGAAACCTACAAGGAAGACACCGGTATTATATTTAAATTATCTCTATCTCTAAATAGAATAAAAGAAAGTTGCTATCCAGGTCTGTAGCATGTGCTACAAATTATATTATTAACACATTTATATAATTATATTAATATAAATGTGTTAAAAAATTTATAATATGAATTATAAAAAATTTTAAGTTTTGCATGGACAGAGCTTAAATTAATATTCTCTTATTTGTTGCAGAAAGCAAGTAGTTTTGGAGAAGCCTCGTAGATGCACAACCAAGTAATGATTAATTTAAAATTACAAACCGAAATTCTGATGAAGACATTAGAGTCACTTAAAAATAAATAGTATAATGAAATAAAAATGTTTTAAAGATAAATAGTGTTTTATTTGTTTAATGTAAGAGAATAATAATAAATATTTATTTAATTAATTTTTCAAATGTAAACTGAACTTTATTGACTTTAATGACTCCTTTTCCAGTCTTTGATTATTTAATTGTAATTAATTATTTGCATGCAATCAAAAACTATTTTTAATAATGCCAAAGAAGTATAACTTCTTACGCGCGTACATAAGTACACGCACCCTTTTTTTTAAATTTATTAATATTAAGTTAGTGACTACTAATAAATAATCTGAAAGGATTTTTTTCAATCTTGTCAAATAGCCCATTGTACAATTGGTGTTTGATTCATAATGAATACTTTGACATAATCAACCACACTGTTCAAGTAAGGGACAACAAATTAGTAATTAGAATACTTAAATGATCCAAATCCTTGGGATTGATTCGCTCCAGTTCAAACAATTTATATGACAATACTTGGCGATTAAAAAGAGTGGCGGAAAGTTTCTTGCCAGTTCCTCTTACCCGCTCTACGCCCTTGACTTGCGAACTGGTAGTAAATGTAAATTTACAATTAATTTAACTTGACAATTCATAGGTGTAATTGTTTACCTACATGAATAAAGATATTTTGAGTTTTGAGTGGAGTGGCTTATGTCAATTATCTTCGGTTTCACATAAGTTAAGTGTTAATTACGTTAAAATCGAACTCGCTACCTCTAGATTAACACTGATTACTAAAAATAAGATTCTATATGTGTATAATTTGTTCACAGAAAAATGGTTGGACCCCAAACGAGGCAGTTGAATATATGCGGTCCCGAAGACCCCACATACTTCTTCATACGAAGCAGTGGCAAGCTCTAGATATATTCCATCAGAGACATATTAAATCGTGATAAATTTTATTGTTGATAGTCAAATTGAACATTTTATAATACAAAAAAAGACAAAGTAGGTATAGAGAAATACGACTTCTTTAACAAATAGTTCAGCCCCGCTACTATGTAACTTCAATGCGACTACAGTAGAACTCCAATTATCCGAATTAATGGGGACCGGGACCCATTCGGATAATCAAATATTCGGATAGTCGGATTTTTAAAAAAAAATTGCCATTGGAGAGAATAAAAGCTACGTTTTGATATTGCACTATTTTTTTATTGAATTAAATGAAAGAAACATGAAATTTTCACATGTTTTAAATATAAATAAAATGTACTTATGTACAAGTTTAGAAATAAAAATCATTGTTTTTTAAACATCTCCGTCAATGTAAGCTGTCTTCAACCGTTTTCGGGCAGCCAGGTCACGCATTCGCTTGACGGTGAGCAGTTGCAAGTGGTCACACTCGGGCTGACGCTCCATCCACTTCAAAGCAGTCTCGAGGCCGGCAAATGCTTCACTAGCTGATGGTCCAGCGTCTACTTCAACATCAGCAGAAAGTTCTTCTTCCACTTCCACTTCAACATCTTCTCTCACACTTACAACAATTTCATCGTCATTGAGAATTTGAAAACCAGGGTCAGACGTGTCACAAGCCAAACAAAACAAACAATGACAGGTGCGCCGTGACTGCAATGCGCCGGAACTTGTCTTAACTTGCCGTTGTGCCTACACACGCGGGGGGAAGTCAGTGTAGGCACAACGGCAAGTTAAGACAAGTCAAGTCAAGACTTGACGCGCAAACACTGGCTTCGCGGGGGGAAGAATAATAGCGCACTTCGGATAATCGGCGATTCGGATAGTCGGAGTTCGAATAATTGGAGTTCTACTGTATTTTAATTAAAAATTGGCACTAATAAACACAAATAACCTTAATGACGTCATCTACCGACGATATTCCTTGAATGCTTGACAAACTGAAACGTACGAAGATTATACATTGAAGTTACGTGGTAAGCTTGCTGGTGGTTTTAAATAGAAAGTAATATAATTATTGTATCCAATATTAATTTATTTATATCGTAATTGTTTATTGGTTCAAATAGTTCCGTCACTTTGTCCTATGTAAATATATATTTTATGTAGTATTAAATAATTTGCCATTTATTTTATTGGTGGCGGTCTATAAGGACTAGGATTTGAAATGCAAATTAATGATAATATATAAATAATATAATAACTGCTTTTTTTTCTAAGTCCTGTAAAGTTAATTGGCCAAGTACCAACTAGAAAGCCATTTCGTCAAAAACCATGGAACACTGGGCTATACGAAATGTGCGACCACTGAGCCATAATGGCTATCAACTGCGTGATGTCGAATCATAATACTAGAACTGATTTTATAGCACAATCTTATTAATGATGACATTTTATGAGATATTGTTAAAACTGATATTGGTGCTTTAATAAATATTCAAACCCTTCTAAAATGCACAGAATTATTACCATTATAGATTATTTTAAACAATAAAGAAATATACTATTAAAATGGGTTTCATTTTTACCAGGAGCCTATCAATTTTTGAAATGACGGCAAAGCACTCTCGAACGTTCTGGCAATGTGTGTGTAAATAGGCAGAGGTATCACTTATAAAGTTCTATAAAAAAGGAGCAAAGATATGAGTTTTCCAGATGTGATAAATAGTGATAGCCTGATTTGGGGTGCAGTTTTGGACGCTAACAAATATAAAAAATATGTTTTTGAAGTGAAAGTTATCGAAGAAATAATATTTTTTTTAATTTGTATAAATTTCGACACTATTTTAATGACAACTAAATTCCTAACATACCTTCCTTTTTCCCTGACTCGGAAATCGAAAGTTTTAGATTTGTATAAATATGAACAAGACTTAAAAATTAGTTTGCCAAAGAAGTTTGAAGTAAAACTTCTTTAGGCGCGACTAGGGAGTAACTCAGATGTTTTTTCTGACGGAAGTAACCCTTAAACTACAGACTATAGCTGTGTAGTTTCCGCTATTTAAAAATAATGGTAGGGGAGCCCACGATGCTAAATGGGGATTTACTCGAGCGTCGTAGAGACCTATTGGGATGCAAAGCTTAGATAATAAGAAGGAAAAAAATGTTATATGATAAATTCCTTTTCATCGGTGGGGGAAGCGGCTATAGATAGTTAAATATGTAAAAAAAACTGTTGCATGGACATCCTCGAGCGCGTCAGATATTGATAGCATCTATGCCCTACGTATTTTTAATAATGTACGTATGTTAATCTGATCGTTTGCATGATGCGGGTGGTTGTATTTAAGGGTTGAAAATGAAAAAAAAAAAAATTATCGAGCGCGTCAGATTTTCTAAGGGAGTGTTAAGTGCACCAAAAAAAGCTCTCATTCACTAATCTGACGATTTCGATGGGACGCAAACCCACAGCCATTTTCATAATTTGCAAAAAAAATCACAATTTTGAAATACTCAAGCGCGTCAGATTAAGATATATGTGGTTCATCTTTATGTTCTAAACGTACTGTCTCATAATCTGACGATTATCTAGAGGGATTCGCCTGATCTGACAAAAAAAATTTAGAAAAACGGTTCACCTAAAGGGCCATCCCTGCAACTTCCCGCTAATTCCATTCCTGGGCGCTTAAAATTGATATTTTGAGCTCGCTGAGTTCAAAGAAATAACATTTCTATGCATTTGAGCTCTCCCAGGTCGAAAGTCTGATAGAAGTTTCATAGAACACTATTTTTGGAATTTTCAAACCGCAATAACTTTTGAATGGATCAAGCAATTTTCACGCGGTTGGCGGCATTCGACGCAGTTTTATCATCCTCATAAGTAATTTTGCAATTTTCGGAGTAATCCCGAATAAACACTTTTTCGGGTTTCTTTCGTTCACGATATCTCTCGAACGAATCAACCGCTTTTGACCAGCTTAGTGGCGATCAACGTGGTTTTTCAAGCTCAAAGGTGGATTAGTTTTTGAAGTTGATCGATAAAGAAACCACTTTAAAAAAAAAATTTCTTATTTTTTAAGATTTTTCAAAATTTCTCAAAATCTATCGGTCCGAATCGGTTCAAATTCACAGGAAATGTAATTTTGAGGGAAATATTTAGAACGCCGTTTAGTAGATTCCGATCGGTTTAAGGAAATGTAGGCATCACGCAGCTGCACGCATTTAACTTTATCGACGAATTTTTGTTATTTCGGCTTGCGGAAATCGTCAGATTATATATTTTTCATTATTCTTGAATTATTTCCTTCAAAATAAAAAAAAATTAGCTACGCTCGAGAATGTCGAGATGACGTTTTTTTTTACAACTTTGTTGCCCTCCCCTTTTTTTCCGTCACTCTCAAATTGTCAGATTAGTGGAATATACACTTTTTAGGATGTAATTAACTCACCCTACCTTAATCTGATGCGCTCGGGAATTTCTGATGGTCAATTTTTTTTTACTAATCTGATCCTGTCTCCTTCACAGGCGGCTTTATATATGGACCTCATGTTTTGTGGAGGTACTTAACCGAGTACAAGCTATCCCCCTGTATATTAATCTGCCGCGCTTTAGTAAATCCCGAAATCCCCTCTTGGGCTCCCCTACCATAATAATTCGGATTGGTCATAAGTTTTTGTCATATACTGATACTCCACGCTTCTTGACTTATACGCTAGCTAGTGGCAAATATCATAAAATAGTCCATTGAAATGTTACATTTTTTAGGCCTTACCTTGCGTTTTTTAGAGGACGCAATTTTATTTTTTTGATGTGTAGAGGGGGTCAGTGTAAAGCTAAAAACAAGTTTGTGGGGTCGCCACCCTTGTCCCACGGCCGCCATCTTGGAAAAAGGGGTCCAAAAACCACGTTTTTGGCTATATCTCCTAAACTATCCATCGTACATAAAACCTGTAAAGACACATTTTGTAGCAAATCGCTGTGCCTACAATTATGTCTGTGTAACTTTTTATCATAAATCCAAAATTCAAAAAGTTATAAGTAATTTATTTAATTCTTTTTTGGATCTTCTAATACAACTGTTTCATTGGAGCTTTGAGAAACTAGCCTTAATCTTTTAAGTTTCCCTTTAGTGATGATATCGTCATCTGAGGATTCGGAAGAACTTTTTCTCTCTTGTTAACCTGAAGTTTTTTTTAGGTAAACCACGCGGTATTGATCATATTTGTTTAGCCGAATTTGATATTTACCCATAACAACCATGTCGTCAGAGCTGACGAAATTAGTTTTCTCATCGATTTTGGGCAACTGAATTTTACATTTCTCTAGTATATGGCCATATTTTTGTAGCAACGCACTGTGCTTCTCCATATGTGTCATAAGAATCTGTTTATTCTTGTAAACGACTTCGCATAATCTGCACGCGAAGTACTTGTTGTACTTTTTACGCCAAGGTCGTACTGTTTTAGTATCATGACTTTTTATTACAAAAGATTCATTTAATTTGATTCTGGGGATTTTGGTTTCTTCTTTAAAGTCAACTCAAATGATTGTTGAGGCTTTGTTTCAGGTATAGTAGATTGTGTTGATGATACAGTATCCTGCTCGGTTAAGCTATTATACCTGTTAACTATCGGAAAAAAATATATAATAGAAATAAAAATGAGTAATCGTATGAAGTATCAAGACAATAAATCATACTAACCTAAGAAATTCAATGACATTCTGTATTGCCATCCGAAAGTTTCCAAATAATTCAATTATCTTCTTCCATTAGCCAGACTAGATTTGTATAAATATGAACAAGAGTTAAAAATTAGTTTGCCAAAGAAGTTTCACTTCTGACATGTGTACGCACGGACTTTTTTTTTCACCTGTAGACTAACTTAACCTTGGTTTTATTGTATAGTTTAAAGAAATAATAATATAACAAAGGATATATATGGCACCGGAAGATAACAAAATCCGTAAGTTTTGCGAAAATGTGGGCGTAAAATAATGCAATTTATCTCTCGTTTAGAATTTTTTATATTTCCTAGGAAATTTATAAACTTCCGGATTTTTTATATTCCGATGACATACAGTCAAAACCGTTTATAACGACATCGTTTACAACGACCTATCGGTTATTACAACCAGATTGTATGGTCCCGTCCGAATCCCTAGTAAACTATTCAGTAAAGAAACCGCTTATAACAACATCGGATACAGCGACATATCGCTTACAACGACGAAAGTTTATCGATATTCATCGGATATAACGACCAACCGCTTCTTGTCTCAGTAAAACAAAACAATACAAACGATTTTAAATTTTATTTATAAGCATTGAATGAATATTTAGGCATATTATTACCTACGCACTTTCTCCCAACGAACAGTTTCAGCCAACAACGATTTCCGAGGCTCTTAACGCTGTAACGATTTTGCAAAAATTTGTTGCCTTTAACGAACAGTTTGATACTGGTGATACTCATACCTTGAGAAGTATGAAACGTAAAATGCAAAAAATATTTGAGACTGGGCTAAAAAAAAACAGACTGACTGATTACTTTTGTACCTAATTATTTCGTAATAAATATTTTTGTTTCTTTTTTGACTCGTTTACATATTATAATATTAACATACCATATTATAACCCATACCTACCTATTCTAGATCGATAACTATGTACATACATATGTACTGTACTTGTGTACATGACATTGCTTATAACGACTATCGGATATAACGTCGGCAACTATACGGTCCCTTCAATGTCGTTATAACCGGTTTTGACTGTATATATGTCAAAACTAAAAAAAGGTAAACTGAACTTGTGTCCATTCAGAGTATCTTTATTTTTTTAATGTGGTAATAAAAAACAAATTATTAATAATACATTTTATTTCTACTAAAATAAATTAAAACAAGTCTCGATACAATACAAGTCAACTGTAAAATTTGTTTAGTCTGCATAAAAATCCCAAATTAAACATTCAAATGATAACAATATTTTTAAAATTTTATTAAGTACAGACCAAATACCAATTATGTCACTAATTTGCAACCAAAATGGTGTTTAATACATTTCAACATAATTAAAAATCGTAGCAAACTTGCTGGGTATTTGTACTAATGCAATTGGTATTTCAAAGCATATCGCTGTTGTTTTCTTGCATGAGAGAACCATTTATGTTGCTACAATTTTACGCATTTTGTTTAGATTTCACACCCCATAGTTGTCGAATGGCGTTGGATAGTCCCACGTCGTTGGATATGAGGTAAAATAAACCTCCCAATGTTGCTATAGAAATAAGGTAGACAAGTGCGATGGCAATTTTGGGAATAATAGGGCCGAAGATGGACGCACGGACATAATCTACTGCTATTGCTTCTAAGCCCCTGAAAAATAAAGATTAAAGTGAAATTCAGTAATATGTGGAGCTGATAACTTTGTATGAGGTTATAAAAGAGTTGGAATCTTTATTTTGAAACAATTTGGATTTTTGTCTCCCCGGAAATCAAACTGCCTATATATTTAATTACCAATTGCAGGCCAAAAGTACATGGTACAAATATAATTCAGTTTATTATGTAGTTTAATGATAAGTACAAATACTTATAAAATAATATTGGCTGTTAGGAAAGAATCTTATTCTATAATATAAAATACTCAATCATGATTCAATTATGAAACAACAACATGAATTATTAATTGGTATAATATAAAAATATATTATTTCTACATTATTCAATACAAAAACAATATACAATCAATCAATAGTTTATTAGTAATTACTATTAATCTACATTAATTATCAGAAATCATTATTAATTTTTCAATAAAAATGTTTTGTTTTACTATATAGCATTTGTAAGAGCTAGCTATTTCTATTAAATTATACCTATTAATCAAAATACTAATAAAGAGATTTACTTTTTTACAGCCCTTTATAATAATAACAGTCAAGTTATTTTTTGAATATCAATTAAATCAAATAACTAATCCTCAAAACAAAAAAATAACTAAATGAGACTAAGACAGCGACAATTTAAATGTTACAGTTATTATGTAGAAGAAATTTTACTAGTGTTGGTCCTTAGGTTTCCTCATATTACGCCAAATCCTCCAGAAACCTCTGCAGAGGCCAATGTCATTGAAGATCAAGAAAAATAAGCCACCCAACATCAATACTGTTAAAAAGTATACAACACCCATTGCAATTTTTGGTATGGTAACCCCGACAAGAAGTACTCTCACATACTCCACTACTATTGCTTCAAGGCCCCTGCATCCAGAAAAATGTCTTAGGATGGTCTTAAGCAGTGTTTCCCAACATGGGGCCTAGGCCCACTGGGCAATTTGATTGTTATTATTGTTGTTTAAGGCAGGCTATCCAAAACTTTCTTAAAATTATTTGGAGTTTGAATTTCAGTCTTTCATTATATGTTTTGAAAAATTACTTACTGTGTCCTATAAACCTATCATTTAACAAGAGAGTGAGAAAGAGTTTAAGTGAAGAATGCAATTTTTGAAGTTAGGCGCGTCATGAAAAATTGATGAAAGTGAAATTTTACGATGCGCGCGGACCGTGACACAAAATTAACAGAATGAAGTTGCCCGATGATGCTACGGTATTGGACATAATTTAAAAACAACATTCGAATAATAATAGAATTTATGTTACACTTAATGTAAGAGAATAATAATAAATATTAATTTATTTAAATTTTCAAATGTAAACTGAACTTTATTGACTATAATGACTCCTTTTCCAGTCTTTGATTATTTAATTGTAATTAATTATTTGCATGAAATCAAAAACTATTTTTAATAATGCCAAATAAGTATAACTTCTTACGCGCGTACATAAGTACACGCACTCTTTTTTTTATATTAAAAAAAGGGGGTTCCCCCTATGTAACAGACATAATTTACATACATAAGAATAGAAAGGCTAAGATGGGTCAGGGCATAAAAAAGGTTGGGAAACACTGGTCTAGAGACTATACAAGATAATACATACTACTATTATGTTTATAAAATGAGATACCATAAAACGAAGTAAGATGAGTACAAATGAAGTCTCAAAATTGAAGAGTTGTCAATAAAGCAAACAGTCTGCCAGACACAGTTTTAAACATTTTAGATTTGTTTATAAAATATGATAACATAAAAGTAATATTTTGACTGAACTAAAAACAATATCTCAGAAAGTATCAAATTGAAAGATTAAAGAAGGCAAAATACAATGTTTTTTAATAGTGTAGCTGTGTGACAACATATAACAAAAAAAAATATGCAGACACATTTCTGCATTGATTTCATCTCTCAACTTTTATGCAGTGATAAGCTCTGTCTGCCTACAAAACCAAAAAAATTGTTTCTCAAGAAACTAAAATATAAGTTTAATGTCATACAGTGCCCTTAGTAAGGCACAGATATTAAACAAGCATGTATGTTGGTACACATTGCCAATATCTATTTAAAATCAAATAAGTAAACTGAACTTACCAAAAACTATGAGCTGTTATTAAAATTGCCAAAACAGAGTCAAATATTCTATTCGGAATCATGAGGCATATTGGGATCAACGGGACTAGTGCAGCTGATGTAAGCTTCTCAATTACCCACAGTTTGGAGTGGTCATGAGCTTTTTCTTCATGTAGTAAAGCTGGCGATGTTCGGAATGACCTTACCTGAAGAAACAACAGTAACTATATTGTTATAAATATAATATGGTGTATTTACAATAATGTCCAGTTTAAAAATTCAAAAAGATACATGTTATGAATACTTTCGTTGCGAAGATTGTAGGCAGACAAGAACATTCTAGAAATAAATTTATATGTGCTTACTGCATTTAAAATAGGTGTTGTATCAGACTTGAGAAAAGAAGTTTGCAAAGGCATGATACTTGAAAGCATCCTTTGTGTCTCTACTGGTTTAGTTGCTTGTTGAGTTGCTAGCCTCATTATTTGTTGGGAGAACACTCGACTTGTGCAGGCTGGAAGACAATTTGATAAATAAAGAAAGATTTACTATAACTCCTTTCTACAAAAATGTATGTGGCTAATCAAGATGTTATTAAATTAGACACAATTAAACTTCTGCCACATAAAATCGACAGTATGATACAAAATATGCATTTTACGCTAATATTTAGTTGCAGGTTTTTCGATTAGATTGTTGTGTTGCTTGATATTATGTAATAAAATAACATTAAAATATGTCTAACCTGGTGCACGGAAGAACATCGAAAAGGCCATTATTATATAATTGACCTAATTTAAAAATTAAATTAAATTGTGCTTAATTAAGGTTTTATCGCAAAACCATAGAAATACTTTTCGAAAAAATTATTTTTGCTTTTAGAAGTAATAGCTGTCAAAAACTTGAACCTATTTTCTGTTTCTATCTTATGCCATTGTTAAACACAGATAATCAATACATATAAGAATTAGGAAATCTGTCAAAAAAAATAAGAAATCTTAAATAACGAATTCAATTTGTATTTAGATTTTATAATTTAGTTTTATTTAAACGAGTTTGTTATTAAGACAATATTGCATATGGTAATTGGTAAATACGATAATGATATTTGGGATCTGTCAAACCTTAAATGCTGAAAGTGGCAGCACCAGCGAGCAGCGATGACAATTCATTTTGTGATTCTCCAAACCTGTGCTTGATTACCAAATATATTAAACAAAATTGAAACAATTGCGAAAGACCGTTAATAAAAATGGCAACAACTTTAGAAGATAAATCAATCTGGGAGGATGGTGAAGAGGCGCTTAGTGAAGAAGTGCTGCGAATGCCAACAGATGAAATCGTCAGCCGTACCCGATTGTTAGACAATGAAATTAAGATCATGAAAAGCGAAGTAATGAGAATATCTCATGAATTACAATCACAAAATGATAAAATTAAAGAAAATACAGAAAAGATAAAAGTTAATAAAACACTGCCATATCTTGTATCAAATGTTATTGAGCTGTTAGATGTGGATCCACAAGAAGAGGAAGAAGATGGTGCAGTAGTAGACTTGGACTCTCAAAGAACGGGTAAATGCGCAGTAATCAAGACATCTACCCGTCAAACATACTTTTTACCCGTAATTGGTCTAGTAGATGCAGACAAACTTAAGCCAGGAGACTTGGTAGGTGTCAACAAAGACTCTTATTTGATCTTGGAGACTTTGCCAGCAGAATATGATGCAAGAGTGAAGGCTATGGAGGTAGATGAAAGACCAACAGAACAGTATTCAGATATTGGTGGATTAGATAAACAAATTCAGGTATTGTTTTTATTGTCTATGTATTTTAAACTCATATTCACACTCAAATTTAATGATGAAATATTTTCAGGAACTTATAGAAGCTGTAGTTCTCCCAATGACACATAAAGAAAAATTTGTTAACCTGGGAATTCACCCACCAAAGGGCGTACTGCTGTATGGACCTCCCGGTACAGGGAAGACACTTCTGGCAAGAGCTTGCGCTGCTCAGACTAAGTCCACATTCTTAAAATTGGCTGGGCCTCAACTAGTGCAGATGTTTATTGGTAAATAATTTTTAACCAATGATTTAAAATGAAAAAAAAAAAAAGAATAAATATCCTTTTAATTTGTATGGTAAATTCAGCATTAGTTTTGTTTTATAATATTAGCTACCTGATTAGGAATACCTGATACCAAGGTTAGGAATAAGTGAATTATATGGGTGTTTTTATTTGATAAAACAAGACCTATTTATAGGGACAGTCCTTGTGTAAGCATGGTATTCCCTTTACTCTTGATTGACTAAGTTTTACAATTTAAGGTGATGGAGCTAAATTGGTGCGAGATGCATTTGCTCTAGCTAAAGAAAAGGCTCCAGCAATTATCTTCATTGATGAATTAGATGCTATTGGTACCAAGAGATTTGATTCAGAAAAGGCTGGTGATCGTGAAGTCCAAAGAACTATGTTGGAGTTGCTTAACCAGCTTGATGGTTTTAGCTCAACAGCAGATATTAAGGTATTAAATATGATTGATACTACAAATTAGAGGAACTGAATAATCTTATCTTAACTTTTGCAGATTAAGGTTAAAATTAAGTTTAGTAAAGTAAAGTTTTTGTAAATATTTAAGTTGAGTTAAAATAAAATTTTGAGTTGAAGGTAGGTAATCTTAAAAATAATACCTAATTATGACTTAACTTTCAGGTTATTGCGGCAACAAACAGAGTGGACATATTGGATCCTGCATTGCTGAGATCTGGTCGTCTTGACAGAAAGATTGAGTTCCCACACCCTAATGAGGAAGCCAGGGCGAGGATCATGCAAATCCATTCACGGTATGATTATTTATTTAGTTTTTGTCAAAAAAAAATTCTATTATTTATAATAGCAACTAGAGAGAAGTTATGTTCTCTTTAGTTCCTATTCTTCTTATTTTCTGAAGCTCTTAAAAGAGATTTAATTCTCTGGAATTCTGAACTTAGAATCCAAAAAAATTTATCTAGTGTGTAAAATGTATTTCAGATATTTTAAAATATATTTGTTATTTTCAGTAAAATGAATGTATCTCCTGATGTTAACTTTGAAGAATTGTCCCGTTCTACTGATGACTTCAATGGCGCTCAGTGCAAGGCTGTTTGTGTTGAAGCTGGTATGATTGCACTGCGTCGCTCTGCCACCTCTGTTACTCACGAAGACTTCATGGACGCCATATTAGAAGTGCAGGCCAAGAAAAAAGCCAATCTCAGCTATTATGCTTAGTTTACCTATCCTATGTACTAAATAAAATGTATTGGAAATTATTAGCAGTTGTTATTCTTCAAGCTTAACTTGCTTGCTTGCGACATGAAGAATATAAGTCATATATTTTTTCAGTGCATTTGCGTTTTAAAAATATCGAAGATATAAAAGATTTTAGTAATAATTGCATTTTTTCCTACTTGCGGACTCCGAAATCCGAATACCTGCAGAATTTTACCTACAAAAATTCTGTGTGTTAATAAACTATACTCTGAGGTTTATTCAACCTGTGGAAAAAAAAAATATGGCAGCACTGGTTGGAAGTTTGGAACTTAGTGCCAATGGACTTTGTATCCGGCTAATAAATAAATTAAAAAAAAGTTTGGAACTTAAAACGTCAATTGTCATTTTACTATGAAAAAATTTAAATTATGGAGCTATAAAAATTCTATGTGAATATTTTTACGTAAAACTTATATTATTAATACAAAAAGAAATGTGAAATTAACAGTAAAAGTTTCCTGCACATCGTGGGCCGTTTAATTTACGTAGCAAGCGTAAGTCTATCCAATTTTATAGCTTAAGTAGTATCAGAGTTTATTATTGTTTAAAAACAGATGGTAAGTGTACCGCATGAAAGTTATTGATTTTTTCCAAGTATTTCAAAGAACTGCATTACTGGTATATGCAGCAGCATACTGAACAAAATAATAATAAATTGTTATAAGTAGGTTTTTTCTAATAACAATAATTATTTAAAAGTAGCTCTAATTTCCGTCTGCAGTATTAAATTATTACGACTTATACTTAATTCATATCATATCCTTTTATAATATTTATGTAATTATTTATTTATGTCCTTAAAGTCCACCATGGATCCAGAAGACGAAATCAAGCTACAAAAAAAGGTACCCGATGATTTACCTAAAATACATACAAAATGCAACAGCAACCGTCCACACACCAGGTTAATTATAAGAGAAATAACTTATGTATTTATTTTTCATACGCTTGAGTTCCAAAGTTATCATAGAAATCTTTTATTTCAATTACTCTAAAGAAAAGCATGGGTGGACTAAAATTCCTTAATACTTTAAATAATTTAAAGAAGATTTGCTAGCCAGATAGAATACAAAAGAAATTACAAGGTCTGACTGGGACTGAAACTAAACAACATATTGCACCGAATGGCACATGCTTTTCACACTATCAAAGCACTCAATCAGACCTTAAAAGAATAATGACTTCTGAATTTGGCATTTTATATTTTAATACTGCAATTCATGTGTAATGTTGATATTGTATCAAACAAACACGGTTTGTTATTTTTATATTTTGAATCTCAAAAACCAAGCTATTTAATGTTTTGCGCCTTAGACACTACCAAGAATTCAGGCTTGCATATCAAATAATTTATATGATAGATAGGAGAAGATACTGATAATTAACTAATAGGAACAAACTTTGGAATTCAACTACATATCATAAATACCCACTATATTTCATTAGCTTGTCAACATATACATAAATACACATAAAATAATTCACATACATAACTGATAATGCAACTTAGAATATTAATTACTGTTTTAGGTTTTTTAAAAGTTTAAAAAAAGTTATGAAACTGAAATCACCGTTAACATTTAAAGTAACAATGTTTTTAAAATAACCTTATATTTTATTTTGCAACTCAAGTCTCAAGTCTCTAGGCTGAAAGGCAAAAGATGCATAACCCAAAGCCTCAGTGTGCCAAAGCCGAAGAAAGGCATTGTTACGGTTTGGTAGGCACATTAGACCTAATAACTTGAATCAGTGAAATACACTATCAAACAAAAAGTGAAAACTGTCAAAAGCTATGGTGATTAGCTAAGTGCAGTCAAAGCCTTACGTACTGTTTGTATATCTGCAAGTGTCGGGCAATGTTAGCGGGTAGCCATCTGTTTCGTACTTCGTAGTTCGTAACACAGTCATTATGAGTGCTCACTCGTGCGCGGTCGTGCGTATCGTGGTATACACAAATCGTGATATGATTCGCAAGTGACTTAATAATGGGAAAATTATTGTGAGTAATTTTTAAATATTTTACATATATATTTGTCATTAATTGTCAAATATAATCTAAAGACATTACCCATTGATCCTATAAATGGCCGATGCGTAATTTACGTCGTAAACAAATTAACTTTTTGATGGTTTTTTTTGCGTTTATGCAGAAAATCTAAACAAGTGAAATAATATCAATCTTTGTTTTCGTGTTAAACGTACTCTATTTATATTATTTAAATACTGTGATTAAAACAATTGTTCCTAATACTTTTTTCGAATACTACTATATTCTTGCCTTACGAAACCAAGACAGTAAAGAGCAGACAGTAAAAAATATCCACGAATATAATTGATTAATGATATAAAGTCAATTGGGGCCGAAAAAATCGATTAAAGCACGGCTGGGGCTTCGAATGTGCGACCTCAGAGTTGGAAATATTACGCGGAACCACTAGGCTAACTCTGTAATTTATCCTAATTAGTAAATTTTTTGTGGTGAGATAATCATTTTACAAATTATAAATTACTAGCTGGCCGGGCAAACGTCGTTTTGCCATATATATCATTTATAATAAAAAATAGGGGTTGATCGTAGAGGGGTGAAAGTTAGGGGTTTGTATGTATTTTTTAATGCTGTATCATAAAAAAATAAAAACAGATAAAAATATCTAAAAATAAAAAAAAATATTTAGGGGTGGACTACCCTTAACATTTAGGGGGATTAAAAATGAAAAAGATGTTGTCCGATTCTCAGACATACCCAATATGCACACAAAATTTCATGAGAATCGGTCGAGCCGTTTTGGAGGAGTATGGCAACGAAAACTGTGACACGAGAATTTTATATATTAGATAGTACAGTTGCGTAGCTAAAAAACATACATGTCGAATTGTAAGTCACCTTCGGTTTTTTATGGAAGGAGTATTCACAACGAAGTTAAAGGTGTAGGTTATTTTACTTTTATTTAAATTGTCTGAAATACAACAATTATTGTCTGAAGGGTCGCAAAAACTCTTGCCAATACGAAAATACCAAATGCTTTTCGAGATATCCCTTGTAATCTACTTATGGTCCAAATATACTTCTGAAAACAATCTTCAACACTTGTATCTATACTTCAGTTGATAATCGCGTGCAGATTATCAACTGAAGTTACAATGATACGCGAAGCGATAAGGTATATATTAGCTAAATGTGATTACAAATAAATAACCGATTTACTTTTATAAAGCGTTATTTTCTCTGCATTACTTGTATAATAAATATTTATTTGTATAACACATGAGTGGGCACTTAAAGTGTAAGATGAAACTCAATTCACATACATAAATATATAATATATATCGTGTTACGTATTCTAGGATTATAATATGTGATACAATGGTAATATATTGTTATAAAGTTTATATTATCGCTGCGAGAGAAACGCAGAGTAATAAAATCGAAAAGTTTAAGGAATTTAAATATATTTATTTCGTGTATGTTTCCCTGGTACATTTCCCCTGTATATATTGTGTATCTGTAAATTAGGATATTATAGAGTACTAGCTGACCGGCAAACGTTTTGCCATGTATATTATTTCTAGGAAACATTTTTTTAGTTCAATAAGAATAACTATCTACAGTAATAAAAAAATAGGAGTTGATCATAGAGAGGTGAAAATTAGGGGTTTTACGTATTTGTTGTATTATAAAAAATGAGCAGTGTTGGCCTAGTGGCTTCAGCGTGCGACTCTCATACCTGAGGTTGTAGGTTCGATCCCCGGCTGTGCACCAATGGACTTTCTTTCTATGTGCGCATTTAACATTTGCTCGAACGGTGAAGGTAAGACATCGTGAGGAAACCGACATGTCTTAGACCCAAAAAGTCGACGGCGTGTGTCAGGCACTGGAGGCTGATCACCTACTTGCCTATTACATTTAAAAATGATCATGAAACAGATTCAGAAATCTGAGGCCAAGACCTAAAGAGGTTCTAGCGCCACTGATTTATTTATTTATTTTGTATCATAAAAAATAAAAATAATTCTAAAAAAATGTTGGGGTGGACATCCCTTATCACTTAGGGGTTTGAAAGATAGATAGTAGCAGATTCTCAGACTTTTATTTAGTTATTAAGTTTACGACATCATACATAGTACTAAATCTACTGATTATTTTACAAAATCTTCCATCTAAAATGTATGACAATTAAAGGTAATACAGGTACTTTATAACAGGACAAAGGTCCTTTAAAACGCGAAATAACCTCCACTTTTGTTTTACATTGCATATTAGGGCACGTCACGCCCTTGCATGACGTGCTATCACAAATTGAGGGTTCACATTCCCCTTGTAATATCGATGAGTTGACACACGTTGTCTGGGAAACACCGTTTTTCTCATGTAATAATAAAAGTTCATGTTCTTTCATAATCAAAGTATTACACTGCTTTTTGGTATACGTTTCTCGAATTATAGGTATATAGTATACAGTTGTGAACGTAGTACATATAAGCACTCAACTGTTGTTTAGTTTTTGTCTTGACGTTTTTCAATTTGTATTCTAACCAATTACGTAAAACCTAAAGATGATCATGATTTCTATTAGAGAAAACTGCGTGAAAATCCAGTTAAAAATGCAGTTTTGGAGTTTATCGCGAACGTATGGAAGGGCAGCAATATATTGTAGTGATGGAGGTATTTCACACGATAACAAATAAACATAGATATAACATTTGTTACTAACGCACATACACAAACATACAAAATAACAATATTAAAAAAGAAAGAAATTTGTTTTTTAAGAACATGGTACGATTTTTTCATATATTTAATGCGTGTGTGTTGTGGTTGTAATTGGCCCTTGCTCAGCATTATGCTGAGAAGCAGGCTGTTCCACAACGCTTATGCCAGAGACCACAGCAGATAGTTTGCGCCTCAGTCGCAAAAAAAGATAAAGAATTTAAAAATAATAATACTTAGTAAAAAATAA